TCCGTTTGGTTAGATTGAATTGCAATTGAATTGGAATTACAATAATATTAAATTAAAAATAAGATATTAATATTGTAATTCAATCTCAATTCCTTTGTTTGGGAGATCTTGAAAATTTACTAGAATTAAGGTTCTAATTCCAGTTCTTGCGTTTGGGTGCATAAAATTTTGGATACTTTAGAATTGAAATTAGTTTGTTATTGTATAACTAATACTAGTACAATTTATATTTCTTGTCAAAACCTTAAAAAAAAACTTAATTTATTATGGATATGTATAACACAAAAAAATAAATAAATTCATTATGTAATGTATATTTAACTACTTTGTGGTTGTTTAACTAATACAATTTTTAATTTTTTTTGTTAAAACAAATTATTATTTTTAATTAATTTTCTATATCAATTTTGTAATTTATTATGTACACACATTTTTGTTGGAAAAAAAAATTATTACGTATAAGAATTATTAATATGATACTTGAAATTCTCAGTTAATACACAAACAACTAACACGTAAAATATCCTTGTTTTCCTCTCTTTTATTATTTTTCAAACTTTTTAATTTTTGATGTTTTGATTGATATCAAAAATTTAAAAAAATTATTATATAATATATGCTATACATAGATTATGCTATACATAAAAATTATTATTTTTGATGTTTATGAATATTGAGGTTCATTTATACATAGATTAACATTAGTATATAATATATGCTTAATTTTTTTTTATTTTTAGTGTATAATTATATATGAAATAATAGATACTTAAAACTCAACTTACATAATTTTTAGTGAAAGATTCCATAAATAGTTTAATATATATATATGTATTATAATATAGGTGTATATATGGAACAATTTTTATTAAAAAAATTTGAAAATGCTATGTTGTTTACTATGTCATCATATATTAAAAATTTTAACCCAAAACTAAAATATTTAGTTATTAATTTTTTGGGTACAACTATACTTTTGATTTTTTTGTAAAAAAAAATACAATATTAATTTTAGATTGATTTCGTTGATAATTATTAAATTGATATATATGAAATAATAATAATAATAATGAGACAAACATCCCAACAAAAAAAAAAGAAGAAAAACAAATTATCCAAAAAAAAAGAAAAAGAAAAAAACAGTGCTGAAAAAATAAAAGAAAAATATAAAAAAGGCCAAAATGTAAAAATTGATAGAGCGACCCGTTTAGGTTATAACCCGGAAACGACCCGGTTATGACCCGCGTGCTTTTTTAAGTTCTTTGAATTTGGATTCCAATTATTTGCTCCCACAAAAGAATTGAAAATAAAGAATTGAGACCTATCTTGAATTATAATTCCAATTCTTGGACCTCTATTTTTAGCAATCAAACACAAGAATTGGAATTAGAAAGCTCCAATTCCAATTTTTGGTCCCAATTCAATGCAACCAAACAGAGCCTAAGGAATAATTAAGATTCAACCACATTATTCGTTATAAATTTCTTTGTCAAATTTTTCCGGTATGTATGATCATCACTCTTTATTAATTGAATAATTGATGTTATAAAACTGTTTTTTGTCAGTTGACGTTGCATTTTTGCGCTCATTTTGTAATTACCCCATCCCTATATAATATGGTTTATTTTGGGCCGGGGGTAGGCGTCGTGGAGCTAAAACTCTTGCAAACATTGGGATTTCGGATAAATGAGTCTGAAAATGACGTACCAAAGTTTGATTTGTAGCCAATATTGATTTGTTAAATCGACTAGATTAATTAAACTAACCAATAAAATTCACTCCGTCAACCCCTAAGAAGGCTTAAATAGTATCCAAACTCCAAAAAAATAAAACATTGTTTATTGAGATCAACTCAGCTTTTTTGTACTAATTAAGCTTCAAGAACATGAGTTAAATCCACTAATCCTCCTGCTTTATCAAGGGCCTAATTTTGTCCCTCTTGCAATTGGTTGTCACTTGTCACCTTGTCTATATCATAGAGTGAAATTCTTTTCTTTAAGTAATTTTCAAAATGGAGCTGATCTTTGGCTCCAATCGACTCTATCTATTTGCACAAACTACTAACAAAAGATTTTTGGAACATCTGTTGATTCTTGCTTGTTATTCGTTTGTATCAAACTCAACTTTATTTTTACCATAGTCATATTCACTAAACATGGAATTTGAAAAGAATAAAATTGACCCTCCATGATTGAATTTAAGGGATTGATGTGGGCGAAAAGCATGACAACCAAGTGGTAGCAGAGGTCTAGCGAGTGAAAAAAATTGAGTAGTGATTCTAGTGAAAAGTAAATGTAGAGGGGTTGTAAAACTATAATACTATTATTGTGGAAACTGAGATTGGAAAGCCAACACACAGTACAAACCCGAAGGTTGTTCCATTGGTCATATCACCCGATTTCTACATCCTAACAAAGTGAGGCTAAAGGGTAAAGATTATGTGCATTTTTGTGAAAAAGGGGCCCTTAATTTGCCGCCTGCCCCTCGGAAGAACAATACATCCAATTTGTGGATGGATTTTCTTGTGTCTTTCTCCTTTCAATTCTCAGTTTAAATAGACTCCATAGTGCAACTTTTGGTTCCCACCACATACAAAAGACTACTAATCTTCCAACAGAGTTGTTTTTTTTGATAAGGAGAGCAGTACCTAAAAAATATTAGTAGATGGTTGAGTAAAAGGAAATGAATGAAGTCATCGTTAAGTCGATGGGCGTTTGAAGTTGGTGAAATTCGGACCTGTGCATTGTTACTTGTATAATGGTAAGTTAAAAGTGCATATCATAAGATGATCTTCACATTCATAAAAAATTACAATATGTTACAAATGTACCTCTTTTTTTTTCTTTTTTTTTTTCCCTCCTCTTCAAAGATGACTGTGCAATGAACTTGTTCTGATTGCATGCACAGGAAGAGTAACAGCCAGAGATAAAACCATAAGTGTAAGCCTTGCATAAGAAGGTTGGAGTGCCTGGCTCCCTGGATGCCATCTATGAAAAGCATTGTCAAGATGTCTTGACTCTTCCTAGCTGGCATCAGCGGAGTCAGGCACACCTCTATTCTCGCAGGCACAATTGGATGCTTGTTTTGAAAGAGACAATTGTACAGGTTAGTTTCTGAATTCACTGCTTTTACATTTTATCCAAGGGCAGAACCTTCAACTGTACTGTATATAGGGCCAAATCGTAATTAGCTTGATGGAATGAATAGCGAATTGACCTGACCGGTTAGATTTCAAAAAATAAAAAAATAAAAAAAAATCAAGGGAACTTTATATCTTTAGAAATTATAATTGATACCTCCTGGAGCTTTGCTTTTCAATCAATATTACTGTTAGATATCTTTTGGTGTCGGTACACAAGGCCAGATTTTTAGAAAGGCCTTTTTTGTAGTAGACCGGTTAATTGTCAGGATTTCCCAAGTATGATACTGCCACGAAATTGCTTTCATTGTGACCCACAACCTACAAACTGTATGTTTTTGTGTGGCTCCGAATTACATGGAAGTTGCTCACTTGCTCTTATTGGGGCCCTATCTAAAAGGTTTTCGATCCAAAATGGCATATCAAACGCTCTAGGAATGATTCAAGGTCACCCTTAAGAACCATAATTCTCTTTTATGTCAATTTGATGACTCCGACTCCGTTTCTCCGAGCATACATGACAATTATTATTTTGAGACATTGTTGAAGTATTTATCCCACATTAGTGTCTGGAGACACTTTATATCAATATATAAGCATCATGAGCTACTCTTCTTATTGCCAATTGGTTTTGAGGTGGAACCTCATGGGTTTCTATATAGTATCAGAGCGGGTTCGGCCTGTGGTGATTTTAAGCCCATGATGTTATTTTATGGCCCAATTTAAGTCCGCGACGTTATTCCGCGGCCCGTGATGTTATTCCACGGTTTATTTCCTGATCCTGGTGATTTAGTCCAAGCCCGTTGGAACGAGCCGGCCCGTGATGTTATTCGTGATGTTATTTCACGATTTATTTCCTGATCTTAGTGATCTAGTCCAAGCCCGTTGGAACGGCCGGCCCATGATGTTATTCCACGGTTTATTTTCTGATCCTGGTGATTTAGTCCAAGCCCGTTGGAACGGGCCGGCCCGTGATGTTATTCGTCCATTGGAACGAGCCGGCCCGTGATGTTATTTCACGATTTATTCCCTGATCTTGGTGATTTAGTCCAAGCCCGTTGGAACGGGCCGGCCCGTGATATTATTCGTCCGTTAGAACGAGCCGGCCCGTGATGTTATTTCACGGTTTATTTCCTTATCTTAGTGATTTAGTCCAAGCCCGTTGGAACGGGCCGGCCCGTGATATTATTCTACGGTTTATTTTCTGATCCTGGTGATTTAGTCCAAGCCCGTTGGAACGGGCCGGCCCGTGATGTTATTCGTGATGTTATTCCACAGTTTATTTCCTGATCTTGGTGATTTAGTCCAAGCCCGTTGGAACGGGCCGGCCCGTGATGTTATTCTACGGTTTATTTCCTGATCCTGGTAATTTAGTCCAAGGAACGGGCTTGATGGGGAGTGTTCAATTATTTATCCACATTGGTGTCTGGAGACATTTTGTATCATTTAGAATTTGCCAAGCTGCTACAGAATTCAGAAAGTAGTACTAGCTAACGAAGTACCAATCCTCTGATTTTTCCTTATAAAAAGTGAGACGAGGTCAAAGAAAGGAAGATCACAGATGCATTCTTATTCTGTTTATGGAATTTCCACATAAATCACTTCTTCTACACCAAAATCTACTAAATTGTTGATACTGACATACTATACTAAAACCATACTAAAAGGCCCTTCTTTCAGCACACGGGAACAGGGGAATAACAGAGCCGAAAGCCCCTTTTTTCAGAACTCCCAAGAAATCAGAGAGACCACAATGTTTTTACCATTCAGCACCAGTCACTGAATTCCATTTACCATTCCAAAGCTTGTTTCTCACCATCAGTAATGACTGATTTTTTGCGGGAGAATTTCATTTACCGTCTTACATGATGGTGCAAGGATCGGGGTTGGGGTCCCGGAACTCGACGAAATGCTGGTAAGGAGGAACACCATGGTGGATGAACGGATGAGTTGCCCAAACTACCTCAGTAGGTTTTGGGTCATCTTTTTTATCTTCTTTCTTGTCTTCTTTCTTCTCTGGAACAGCGCTGACACTAACAATCTCGGAATACCCGACATTTTTCCTCAACAGAGTTGTGATTTCCACTGCATCAATCCCTTCTCCCACCACTTCTATCTGATCCTTGTCCTTCCCTTGTAAAGCTGTTGACTCCACTCCTGAGAACCCACAAAAAAAAAACAAAAGCAAAAAACCTGAATTAAGCCCTTTTTCGGAGTTTAAAGATTCTGAAAATCTTGCTTCATTTCACTGTGATATCTGGAATTAGGTGGCGAAATTGTTGAAGATAATTAATCTGATGATGCTTACCTATGCAGCCAACAACAGTTTTCAAGGCCTTCTTGCGGGATTTTTGATCATTCATTGACACTTTGATCACAACCTTTTGCTGAAACAAAAGCAAAACAAGATTAGTACTACTTATTAAGCAAAACAGAGAAAAAAGCAGAGCAATTAAGATGATTGACTTTTGATTTCCACCAAAAAAAAAAAAAAATGATCAGAACTATAATCAGATTGTTACCTTGGCCATTTTCTTGGTTTGTAGATGGTAGATCAGCTGAGAAACGAAGCTAAATATTTGAAAGTTCAGGAGAGGGAAGTAAGAAGAAGCTAGAAATGTTGGAAGTTTGGAATGGTGTGCTCTTATTTGGTCTTACGGGTCTACTTATTTATAAGGGGTCATTTTAAAGTTTAATAAGGGAGTCAATTGGATTTGTAGACATCATCCTAACAACCGTAGAATATAGAGAAATTATCATGAAGTATCGTCACTCCACTTACGGAATATTCATTCCTTCCCAAAAAATCATTACTCCCTCCGTTCCATAATTATTGTCCACTTTGCCCAAAAAATTTTGTCCCAAAATTATTGTCCAATTTGACTTTTTATGGATCAAGTTACACATTTGTCCTTAGTAAAAAACATTATCCATAAAATCCTAGTGGTTAAACAATTACTTATGTAGGGGTATATCCGGTTGTTTAAGGCAAAATATAGTTAAGTTTGACAAAAAATAAAATTTTTCATTTTAGTAAAATTGGACAATAATTATGGTACGGAGGAGTATCACATTTGACAATGAAATTAGAACAGAAAGGGTACTTAATTTTTAAATAGTGATATGCGAAGACTTGACTAAATGACATAAAAGTGATGACCTAGTCATGTTTACTTCTTTTGTCGGAACCCGAAAGTCACCAAGCCCCCTTCGAAGGGGAGTGCTTGGCAGACACGGTGAGACTTCCCGTGTAATACATTTCTTTATTCATTATGGAAGTAGTACTAAATGAAAACATCAGTAAAATAGTAAATCCTTTACCAAAAAAAAGTAAAATAGTAAATTGAATTAGTAAAAGAGAGTAAGTGACGACCAAATTTGACACGAGGGGTAAGAAAAAAAATTTATGAACTTTCTAGATCGGGAGGTGTAAGCAAATGAAAATTCATTATAATATATGTCGCAACCAGAAGATAATTTAAGGAATTGTCTTGGTTCCAAAATAGAAACACTGGCCTGTTTTTTTTGCAGTGATTTTAATAGAATAGAAGAAACTTCAGCTGATGTTATAAGATGAGGAAATATCAAACTTAATATGACTAATTAATCTTTTTTTCCTCCCTATCATTGTTTTCGTGGGACCTTAGAGATTAATCAAATGCGTGTGAACCCAAGAAACTGACATGATCCCTCCAGTAATCAACTAAAGACTTTGAATTGACATGGTGATATATATTGAGAAGTCTCTAACAAATTTGCAATAAGTTTTTTCTTTTACGAAGGAGGAAAAAAGGACTTTTTCTTCTAACTATTTGTCTCACATCAGCAGAAGATCAACTCTGAATGACTGAATCTTAGATACTGGCGTTAGGAAAAAAATTTAGGCACTATCTTGATTGATGTCATTTTTCCGCAATGGATTTATGATTATTACATCTTCAAGTAATTTAATTTTAATTAGTTTAGACCATATAAATAGGACTATAGTAGTATTTCATTTGGCAACTGTCACCACAAAGTACTAGTAGAAGACTTCAGTGTGTATAACCATAACGAAAGTCTTGCTACAAAGAAAAGTAAACGTCAACCAAAGAGGAAGTTTCGATTCTGCCATACGAGAATGTCTTCATGTTATATCGTTAATAATACAAATTATACGTGTTCGATAGTAAGTAAGCACTATGTAGTAACCATCTACGTGATTGCCTTTTCAAAAAAAAAAAAAAAAACTACATGATTGGATCAACATAAATTCACTCTCCCTCTTTAGTTCCGATTTCTAGCCATTCTGGCTACTAGACCCGTATAAACTTTTAGTTCCAATTTTTATCAATGGTTGTCATGTTTCTCATCATCTTCCTTAGTTTATCAATCAACGGGGCCCAAACTAACAATCTCCGCATGGCCAACATTTTTCCTCAGCGACTTAGTGATTGTCACTGCATCATCCATTCCTTCTCCAATGACTTCTATCTCATCCTTGCTCTCCCCTTGCAAGGCTATAGAATCAACACCTAAAATCAAATAAGAGAGCAAACAATGAAATGTAAACTTAAAGATTTTACATGTCTATGACAAGTTTCTCGCATCTATAAATTCAATTGTACAAAATCAAATCGAAATAAATTAGGCAAAACACTTTTGTTGAGAAGTAAATATACTTCTTGCTTACCAAAGCAACTAACAATAGTTTTGAGGGCCTTCTTGCGGGTTTTGGGATCACTCATTGAGACCACTTTAATCACCACCTTTTGCTGAAACGAAACAAAGACTTAAGACGTTATTGAAATGAAGTAGACCAATATGATTGGCTTTTCCACAAGAATGATCGAAAAACCAGATTGTTACTGGCAATTCCCTGATCTTTATGCAAGAATACTGTCAATGGGAGATTTTCACTTGTCGAAATGTGCAAAATTATATTTGTACGATATGAATCTAAACCTTTTTTTTTGTTTTTTTTTCAAAACTCGCAATGGTTAATGTATAAAATTTTGGCCGGAGCACACTATGAATAAACGAATAGAATGGCTGGAAATGAATGCCACAAGTTGTGGAGGAAACAAAATCAATATGGTACTATTAAGAGTTTAGAGTGGTTAATGAGGTAAAAATTCTTAGAGGCGAAAACAGTTGTTGGAATCCCGTTACGTATTTATAGGAATTGCATGATGGGAATTGATGATTTGGGACACCATTTTAAAGTCCTAACAACCCCCAGGTAGAGTAACATTTTAAATAAAAATTAATAAAGCATCATTAGTCCACTAACGAATTATATGACAAATTAAGTCTGACAAATCTTATGGGACACCAATCGCGCACAAAACCATATTAGGAGGCAGACACGCAGAGAACCCCCCGAGTGTCCGATTAGTTTGTTCATTTTGAAATACAAATTTCTTATTTGGGAACAAGAAAAAATGTTAAATAAAACTTAATAAACTAAATTATAACTTTTCACTTTAGCATTGCATTACCTTGGTCGGTACCCTAATCCCTTTTATCATATTAAAGCAGAAACAGGATGCTGATGTGGCAATTTTTATTAAAATGTTTTGGCTCAAAATGCACTATATTGCATAAACCATTCTGCCACGTGTCACCCCCTTTTAAAAACAAAAAATATATTTACAATATTAACGAAGAGATCAGATGACCATGTTCATTAAAATTTTGAATTTGACAGTGAATGAAACTTTCCTTCTCAACTTATTTAGGACTTTCAAAAAAATTAATTTTCGGTCAATGAACTATCTTCATCAAAAACTAAATTCATTCATAATAGTTTTGATTATTTACATATTAATTTATTAGGTGGGAGGACGCCCCCGGGCATTTGCCCGGGGCAAGCATCTAATCGCTCATGAAATGAAATACATATATCACCGAAGTCGAAGATAGTAGAGGCAAACATATCGAGAAACATTATGTAGTGTTTTAAAAAATTTAAATAAATTAAGGTTTTGAACAAAAATCTTCTCTGAATTGAGGAAGTTAACTATTTCATAATATTAAAAATAATTTTGGGGGGAGGGGGATGGCTAATAAATATATTAAGAAGAGTTTAAAAATACCATAGATATACATGCATGTATGAATAAGTCTCTTTCCTCTCTCTCTTATATATATATATATATGTATATATATATAGAGAGAGAAAGAGAGAGAGAGAGAGAAATTCTATGGTCCAGTCATAAGATTTTGACTGAACCATTTAGTTTTTGTTGATTCAATCAAAATTTAACACACCATATAGGAGTATGGGGTGAGATACAATCCCGATTATATCATTTACCTGTTGATCATGTAATTTACTACAACATTTATTTTACATTACCTAGACAAAATCAAATTAACTATGAAAAGGTAGAGTAACCGAAATCAATCTGATTCATTCCATAAAATTTTCTTTAACAAATGAATTTTGATTTTAACTTTTATGAGGTGGAAACCTTAAAAAAAAATTCGGCATTTCACCATCACTTTCATTGTCGTACTCATCATCCCCATTGAAATTTACGACGAACTCCAGGCGCCGTTGGTACTTGACACCTGTTTCTCTGGCAAAATTTTTGTTGTTTCAGAAGTCTTATCGAAGTTACGGCTGAGTTTTTTCCTTGTTTTCTTTCTAGTTTTGTGAAACTGATTGCTCACAATCCCTTAGTGAAACATTTGATTCGCGTTCCTCTCTCTTGTCGCGGCAATACATCCTGAAGTTGTTGCAGTCGAAGTTGAAACTTTTCCATCTCATCAAATTGTTATTTGACAAACAAGCCAAAATTTATTGCTCACGGAAAGAAATCTTTTCAAATTGAAAGAAAAGCACACCGAAGATCTCAGCGAAAACGCATTTTTAGTAAATCTCTAAGCAAAACCATCATCACATCGCCTTCTTCTCCAATGTTGCAGCTTTTCTTACAGCAATACGAACCCACTTAGATCATTATTAGTCTTCATCGTCGATTACAAATTATGATGCTTCCTACTAGAGCTCCCAATGGACATTGTTTTGTTCATACATTACAGCTTTTGCTCTAACAATATTACTTAGTTAATCCAGTTAAAGTTGGGGTTGCCAAAACAATTTCCAGTTACATTCTTCTCAGCAAAAAATTGAACAGGAAACAAATTAACTAAATATTTATTTATAAAATAAAGGATTCATATGTTTTCTCCCTCTCAATTTACACATTATTACTCATCGCACAACATATATTTTCAATATGTAAGCATTCAGGTCAATTTGTTTTGGGTTGATATGGGTGTAAAGTTGTTCAACCGAGTTCGATCGTGTTAGTTCGATTTAGAGTTAAACTCGATCTCCAGAGAATACACAAATAAGAGATTTGAGCGTAAGACAAGTCGCAATTACAGTCGAAACCCCGATTAAGTAAGAAGAAGCTGGTAATTCTTGAGAAAATTGAATGATACTTGATATTGAAAGACAAAGAAAAACAAGAAGATATGAGGATCGAAAATAATTAATGCTTTGCCGGAATCTGAATGCCTCGGTGAAGAATTTTGTTTAATCAAATAAGTTTTCTTATACTATGATCTAAAAGTCTTTAAATTTTCTTAGCACAGTCAAACGTGATACATACCCAACCAAATTCTAATTTTCATTAAAATTCAAAATTTTGATATTAATAGTGATCCCAAATCCAGAAAAATATAGCCTACACCAGGTAAACTGAAAAATTTTTTTAGCCAATTGCTCGGAGACACAATCACACAATGACTGACTCAAATAGTCGGGATGGAACTTAACTACGTATCTCTCATGAAAAAAGCAGTTACAAATTTTATAGGATTAAGTCGACTTTTTAAGAAGAAGATTAGAGTTGACGAAGAAATATATATGTTATTTGTTTGTGATAGGAATCTAGGCGTTCATGAAATTTCGGGACAAAAATGCTAGGCACAATTCATGGGAATTTATCCTATGTGGCTAGGTCTTCTTTCTTTTATGATGCACCCCATCTGATCTTACGGTGATAGATGATTTATTTCATCTAACGGTTGTAATTATTAGCTGAACCATTTAGTCAACTGGACCATAGTCGCTCATATATATATATATATATATATCTATTATATCCATCGACATGGGACGTAAGTGATTCAACTGAACGAGAAGTACTACAAATAGTATAATGTTTTAATTAATCAACGAAAAACTTTGAATGAGTGATTCAACAGAACGAGGAGTAACACAAATAGTCCTTCGTACCATAATAATTCTTCAGTTTGGATTTTTATTTTTAGTTTAAATTGTATCAAAAGTGAAATTTTAAACTGGACAATAATTTTAGAGGAAGTACAATGTTTTATTTAGATAACGAAAGACTTTGAACAGTTGTGATAATGAGAGGTCCCTCTTAACAACTTTTTACTGATGTTAATTTTTTCTCGTACTTTATAATTAAGAAAGAAAACTTATGTTTGTTTCATGTAAATTAATATATATAGAGGACATCTGCATCTTAGCTGTTGGCACTGTATATAATCTGAGTAGTTGATAATAAAGTGGCAACTTTTTCGGTCAAAACAACTCTTAACTTCATCATATAGTTTTTTTTTAAAGGTACTTCATTATATAGTTGTGTGTGTATGTTGTGATTGAAGATTATTATATAGGTGGCGGTGCTTTGATCTCATCTTATAGCAATCTTAGAACTCTTTCTTTTATATATTATTATTGGCCATACAATAAATCTTTATCACACTGTGTATAGGGAGCGATTATAAGATCCCGCCGTGGATATACTTAAAAGTAAAAGTTACATCTCACGCAACATCAAAAACCAATTTATAAAAGGGAACCTTTTTTGAAGGAGATACACAAACCATGAACTTTCATCCTGAAATTGCATGATAGCACGAGTCTAGCTTTTTTCTTTAATCAAATTTAAAAGGGACTGAATTTTTTTTTCTTACCGTCCAAATATAATAGCAAATATTGAAAAAAAAGGGTGTGTAAAATTGTGGGAAAAAAACTTTTGGAGAGAAAAAGTTGGATGAGATTTCACATGAACCAACTTCCACAAAACAAAAAGGAAATTAAACAAACAAATAAAACGAATTGAGGACTTTGTGGACTCCAAAATAGAATTACATGACGGGTCAAAATGAGTCAATTGGCGTGTGATCTACTACGGTACCCTGTACCTCCCCTAAAGAAAGGCAAATAATGAGGAGTTCCTAAGAGTACTAGGGAGCAAGTGTAATACACTCTTTTTCTAAGCAAGTTAATTTTATCTCTCATAAAATTTAAATTACATTCTCACCTATTTTCTAGCACATATTTGTTTTTAATATTTTTATTATATTTTTCTGAAAAATTTTAGTTATACGCGCACCTATTTTCCAGCACACACTTGTTTTGAATTTTTTTATTGATTTTTTAATAAAATAACAATATTCATATAGATGAATAAGGCTGTAAATCTTACACGTGAATTACAATGCTGTTCTGAATGAATAAATATACTATTATGGAAAAATAACACTATTGTCTCATATGACTAATTTTTTTTTAATAATGAATTTCAGAACTTGTCTGAATAAATAACGATAGTTAGATGGTTGTATTTAAAAGTTAAAATTTGTTAGATAAATAATTGTAATTTACTGAATGAATAGTATATGATTAGATGATGAATAACAAGCAACAGAATGAACACTTTAATGAAGAGATATAACAAGTGTATGTTTTACAATGAGTTAATGTCAGCAACAAAACTAATAAAACTTCTAGTTTTGTATTTAGATTATACCAGAATTGAAAACTAGTCATTATTTTTTACATTTAAATTCTTGAGGTCTACCTAAACTAACAAACTTTTCGAAAGAATCGCCGATACTCGACACGTCTATATTGATTGTTTGATTTCAGCAACTCTGCCAAATATTTGTTTCCCAACCAATTGAGTTTATTTTGATGAACATTTCTCTGACACTGATCTGACAAAGAAAATATTAAAATAAGTGAGATTTCACATTCAATAAAAACTCAACTCTGACAAAAATATTGATTAATGGATAATGAATGAATACATGAAAAAATCCAATGATATTGATGAA